CCTACGATGACTCTAACATCAGGAAGATGCTGCGCATCCAGAAGGAGCATCGCGTGGACTTCCCGCGCTCCAAGAACCTGACGGGCGAGTGCAAGGACCTCATCTACCGCATGCTCCAGCCCGACGTCAACCGGCGGCTGCACATCCACAAGATCCTCAGCCACTCGTGGCTGCAGCCCCCTGAGCCCAAGGCCATGTCTTCTGCCTCCTTCAAGAGGGAGGGGGAGGGCAAGTACCAGGCCGAGTACGAGCTGGACACCCGCCCAGGCTCGAGGCCCGACCACCGGCCTGAGCACAAGCTGGGGGCCAAAACCTAGCACCGACTGCTGGTGGTGCCGGAGAACGAGGACAGGATGGAGGACCGGCTGGCCGAGACCTCCAGGGCCAAAGACCATCACATCTCCGGAGCTGAGGTGGGGAAAGCGAGCACCCAGCAGTAATGAGGGCCAGGGGCAGTGGCGCAAGGTTTGCACCCCCGTAAACTATAAGTAGGCAAGGAACAAGTAAAATTCGTCAATTAAACCAAAAAAATAAAAAATAAAAAAAAATAAGTTTAGCATAGCCTAAGTGTGCAGTGTTTTTAAAGTCTATAGTAGTGTTTAGTAATGTCCTATGTCTTCATATTCACTTGCCACTCACTTACTGATTCACCCAGAGCAACTTCTCATCCTACAAGTTCCATTCAGAGTGCCTATACAGGTGTGCCAATTTTTGTCTTTAATACTGAATTTTTACTGCACCTCTTCTGTGTTTAGAAATGTTTGCATATACAAATATTAATGTTTACCATTGTGTAACAACTGCTTTCAGTATTCAGTACAGTAACATGCTGTACAAGTTTGTAGCCTAGGAGCAGCAGGCCACACCACATAGCCTAGGTGTGTAGTGCGCTGTACCATCTGGGTTCATATAAGTGCACTCTATTATGTCTGCGTAATGACGAAATCAACTACTGACAAGTTTCCCAGAACCTATTCCTGTCGTTAAGCAATGCATGAGTATATACCAGGAGTCAGAAGAAAAGAGAGAGAGAGAGAGAAAGGGGGCTAGGGAGGAAAGAGGAGAGACAAGAAAGAAAGAAAGGGGGGGGAGGGAGGAAGGAAGAAAGGAAAAGAAAGAAAATAAAGAAAGAAAGAAAGGAAGGAAGGGAGGGAGGGAGGGAGGGAGGCTCAGCCTGGCTGGGGCTCTGGGAGGCTGTAGCTCTACCATACTTAATGCCTCCCAAGCCTTACTCACCTTTAGATTCTCACCATCATGCACAGTGCCTGAGAACTAGTGGGAGCTCAGCAAATGTTTGCTGATGGCATGGAGGACCTGCCTAGTAACAGTTTTCTTGGGCTGTCATCACTAAGTAACAAAGACTGGATGGCTTAAACAGGACATCAGGTTTCTCAAAGTCTGGAGGCTGGAAGTCCAAGACCAAGGTGTCGCAGCGGTAGTTTCTTCCCAGGCCTCTCTCCTTGGCTGGCAGATGGCCGCCTTCTCAACGAATCTCCCCACAGGCCTTTCTCTGTACACACGTTCCCCGGTGTCTCTCGTGTGTCCTGCTCTCCTCTTCTTGTAGGGACACCAGTCAGCTTGGATTAGGGCCCACCCTAACAGACTCATTTAACTTGATCACCTCTTTAAAGGCCCTGTCTCCAAATAGTCACATCCTGAGGTACTGACGGGTTCCACATATGGATTTTTGGGGGACACAGCTCAGCCCATTACAACCCACTCCCCTCCCCGCACGCTCCGTCCCCGTTTCTATTCAGGACGCCCTCAGTTTTCCCTGTCCTGTGTCTGCTACCCCCAGACATTAGAAGGGCAAACCTTTGGGTCCTTCTTTTAGAGTAATCCCAGTTGGCAGCTCTAAATCAGAGTCTGAAATGAGGGGTTTCCATCACTCACAGACTCCTGCCCAGAGGCAGAGAGGGAGGCTTGGACAGGACTCTCTCTTCACATGATTGGAATGTTCTTCCCAGTTGAAGAGGAGCTAGCCCCTCCCTCTCACCTAATAGGTGCGCTCCGTTGGCACTAGCCCTGAGCAGTTAAATCTTCTAGATTCTCAGCTCAGCTCTGTTGTATCCCAGAAGCATTTTCCAGGTGTTTCCCACAGCCCGCCTCCACGGCAGCCCCGCCTCCAAACCAGCCACGCCTCCCTCCCCTGTAGCCCCGCCTCCACGGCAGCCACGCCTCCGCTGCAGGCCCGCCTTTCCAAAGTCCCGCCTCCCTAAAGCCCCGCCCCCCTGTGACCTCACCTCTGCTGCTGCCCCAGTCCTTCAGGTCCCGGGGGCCGGCGATGGGGCGAGGGAGGCGGTGGTCACCGCGGACTCTCCCAAGGAGTGCGATGCGATCCCCTGGCCACAGGATGGCGGAGTAGCGCCCCCTCCCGGGGGAATGTAGAGCCGCTGAGAGGCGGTTCCTCCTCTGCCCAGATATTTTTAGAGCTTATTTTTAGCGCTGCCAAGTGCTAAGTATTGTAACGTCAATAAGAAAAAGGCACTATTTTTCACCTTTAAGGAGCTTACGGGCTGACAGGAGGCGGAAAACGTGAACCATAATATTTCCCCTCCGCCGATTTATAGTGACAACTTTCATGCACACGGTAAACACCCATCCGCCCGCTGCTTCGGCCCCGGTAACACGCACTGGCCGTGCTCGCGCACTCGCCCATCGCCTGGCCGCCCCCTACCCTTCCACCCGTCCGCGATAGTTTTTAATGCGTTTCAAGAGAAGGGAAACACATGATTTTGAGATAATTTCCTCTTCTTCGGGTTCTCCTTTCCCTGACCTCAACAGCTAGTGAGAGCTGCCTTGGGTCTCAGCAGAGAGATGAGGGCAAAAACCGCGAAAACAGCCCTGGAGTCTACTCTGCTTTTATTCCAAAGGCCTCAGGTTTGGGGGAAGTAGGGATTCGCTGGACAGACAAAATGTGTCTGGCAGGAAAACCTGGAACAGACTCCCTTGGGCTGAGGGAAGGGGGCGAAGGCCGATGGGAGCTGACAGCAGGGGTCTGAGCCGTTTCCTGGGTGGAGGCCCCGGAAGGTGACAAGTGGACAGAGAGATCTACGGTGTTCCTGACCACGATGGCTTAGATGTCTTAGACCCCTGGGGCCCAGTGGCTGAGGACCGGATGGGTCCTCCACTTGCCTTGAAAATGTGTGGGCTTCCTCTGTACCCCGTTGTAGGGACTGAACTCCGTTCTCCCAAAATCCATACATTTAAGCCCTAACCCCCCAGTATCTAAGATTGTGACTGTATTCAGAGTAGGGGCCTTTAAAGAGATAATCAAGTTAAAATGAGGCTGTTAGACTGGTCCCTACTCCAAGCTCTCTGTTGTCCTTACAAGAGAAGGAGATTAGGCACCTGAGAGACACCAGGGAAGTGCAGAGGAAAGACCAGGTGAGGACCCAGTGAAAAGGCGGCCATCTGCCAACCACACAGAGAGGCCTCAGGAGAAACCAACCCTGCTGATGCCTTGATCTCAGACTTCTAGCCTCCAGAACCGTGAGGTGGTATACTGCTGTTGTTTGTGTGTTATTTTACTGGGGCAGCCCTAGCTGATGAGCTCACCCCACACCCAGGAACACTGACATGGATCCTGAGGAGTCCGGGGCCTCTGACACTCCAAGGTCTGAATTTTCTGCCAACCCAGCATGATAGTGGCTCAAAATAGAAATAAGTGAAGGTATCGGAAGTATACTTTATATTTTTTTTGCACTGCTGATTTTGTATGTTGAGAGTCATATGCAACACACAACTAAACAACTTTTTTCTTTTCCTTTTTTTGAGACAGGGTCTTGCTCTGTCACCCAGGCTAGAGTACAATGGTGTCATCATAGCTCACTGCAACCTCAAACTCCTGGACTCAAGCGATCCTCCTGCCTCAGCCTCCCAAGTAGCTGGGACTACAGGCACACACCACCACACCCAGCTAATTTATTTTATTTTTTCTAGAGAAGGGTCTCTCTATGTTGCTCAGACTGGTCTCCAACTCCTAGCCTTAAGGGATCCTCCCACCTCGTCCTCCCAAAGTGTTGGGATTACAGGGGTGAGGCACTGCGCCCGGCCACCACACATTTATATGTACAAATCATCTACTCCTCTCAATGGTCCTGTGTGGTGTATCTTATTATTACTGTCATTTCACAGAGGAGAAACTGTGAGGCAGAAAAGGATCACTTGCTGAGACTGAAAAACTAATAAGTAATGCAGTTAGTGGGTTTCCAGCCTGCCTACTTCCCAAGCTTATGTTCCTCCCAACTCACTATTTTGCCCCTCGAGCAGCTACTATTACTGCAGGATAAGCTCAGGATGAAAGACCAGGCTATGTGGCTAGAAGTGAGTGAAAGTCAGAACATGAAGGGTCTTAGAGGCTTCATTTTATCCTGCAGGCTAGCATTATTTAGACGAGGGCTGAGTCTGTTGATTTGTTCTCAGGGGATCTGAGAATTCTGTAAGAATTCATCAGGTTAGTACTTTCCATTGAAGGTATTCTAAAATCATGACTGCAATCACTATAGGCCTGAGGGAGGCGCTTTGATAACCAGGGATGGCCACCGGGGTCAGGTCTGGGCCCACATTTGCATGCCTAGGTGTGTCCCTGATGGTGCCAGGTGGTCTCTGAAGGGACCAGAGTTCACGTTTAATCTTAACTCAATCTGGAGTTCACAGATACATTCTCAGGGGCCTCAGTACTTTTTCATTTAATTAGGTTCCTTATGTGACTGAAATCTGAGAAATGACCATGCAGAATCCTGTGATCCTTGGAGGTGAACTGAGGTGTGTCAAGGTGTCCTGTGTGGGGGCAGCTAATGGCCCAGGATGTCAGGAGCTGCCCAGGGAGGAGGGGTGCCCATGGCACAGCTGGCATCTATGGAGGCAGCATGGTGCAGTCACAGGTTCATGGACTTCGGGGTATTGGGCCTGGCCCAGACCAGCCAGGTAACCTGGGGCAAATTTCTTAGTCCCTCTGAACCCAGCTCTCCAGAATTGTGACAGAGATTAAAGGAGTAGTAGGGGCAATGAGTGGTGGTCTCTCCCTTCCTGTCCTCCCCCTTTCTTCCCTCTCCCACTCTTCCTCCTTCCCTCCCTCCATTCCTCTCTCTCTCCCTCCCTCTCTCTTCCTCCTTCTCTTTCTTCCTCCTTCTCTCTCTCTCTCTGTCTCTCTCCTCCTTCCTCTCTCAATCTCTCTTGCTCTCTGCAGGTCCAGAATGCCTCCCTCTTTCTTTTCCTGGCAGTTTCCACCTGAATTGTCATCAATTATTTAATTATATGTCCCTCTAGACTGTGGCTTTAAAAGGGACAAAGAACAAGGTGCTTGCATCTCATCCTAAGGGTGGCAGGAAGCCCACAGAGGGTGTTCAGCTGGGCAGCGGAATGACAGACTTTGATGTTTGGATGCTGGCGCTGCCTGCTGTTGGCCATGTGCAGAGACAC